CTCGTACTTATGAAATTGGACAGTAGAGGATTTTAAAAAAGTAGTTTGGTCAGACGAGTCTACTTACACACAATTCAAAACCTCAGGTTTTGGGCGGGTATGGCGTGAACCTTCTGAGAGTTCCATGAAGACTGCATTGCAGCCACGGTCCAAAAAAGCTTTGGTCGCATGTTTTGGTGATGTTTCTCCTGTCCTTTGGTCCCTTTAGTTGGTCGCGTAACTGGAAATACACATTGTGAAGTTCTAGAAAATTACGCAGTTCCTACGGTTAAGTCTCATGCAAAAAAAATCAAAAAAAAAATTTATTTCAAGAGGATAACGCACCTGTCCACACCGCAAGAGTCGCTCGTTCTTTTCTCGAATCCTCAAACATTGAGTTGCTTCCCTGGCTGGCTCAAAGCCCCGATATAAATCCAATAGAAAATATTTGGTCACATATCGAGGTTAGGATTCGTAAACATGATTCACAACCATCAAGTGTTGCGCAATTGGAGCAGTGGGTTAAGGAGGAATGGGATGCGGTACCCGTAAATTATTATCGTAATTTAATTAAGTCCATGCCGCGTCGGGTTCAAGCTGTTCTTGCAGCAAACGGAGGTCCAACGAAATATTGACCTGTAATTTGATAAAATAAAAAAAAAAAATAAAGTTTATATGTTAGTTATTTTGTAATACCATTTTTAAGAGATGCTCAATACTTTTTATACCCCCTGTATGTATTACCGGTAAAAATTACAGAATAAGTCCGTACCGTAGACGATACGGTACGGTACGATTCAAATTTCGTGAAATGTATTGACCGATTTTTTTCATATGCTCCAAAAATATGCATGAAAAAAACAAATAAAGCTGCAATTTAACATGGTTGCATAAAATTTTAGAAATTAATAAATTTATGTTCCTAGCGTTGGATATGATTTTTATTTATTATAACGTTTTATGACTCGGGAATCAATTTGAAAATGTAGCTCATTATGGGATCATTTTGATGCTTGACGTGTAAATGTGTGGCGTTTAATATTTAAGTAATGTAGGGTTCCTTTGCATTTCATGTTTATCATTGACAATTAAAATATGGATTATTATTTAAGAAATGAGGGTTCTAATTTATCTTGTAAATATACATATTTACGCGGCGTTCCTCATTTAAGAAAAGATTCTTTAACATATTTTAAGCCTTTAGAAGGTTAGATTACAACAACCCATTTTAGAAATTTCGTTTTTGAATAATTCCAAAGTGAAAAAAATTGGTCTAATATGTTTTTTTCTTTCAATGTGGAGAAAATATGTCTTTACTGGATATTAGAATATTTGTTGCAATAGACTTTGGAATTACTTTTTCTGGTTCGCGTACGTTCACAAAGAAACGCTTATAGTATTATTATCCGAAGCATAGCGAAGGACAACCAAATACTAGACATGTCAAATGCAATGTCGTTCTGTTTTGCCGGAACTTTATGTTTTCTGCCTTCCGTATCGTTGATAAATCCTAGAACTTAAAAAAATAAATAAATATATATATATATCGTCGGACAATAATTTTGCTGACACATTTCCATACTGCGAACGTCATAAGATCGGAGAAAATAGTATTACGACTCGACTTAATTAAATTTTTTATTATAAATCACATGATATTTACTACGCAATATTACGCACGCACGAATGTGGTCTTGCTATCATCTCGAGCGATCAGTTACAAAAGTATGAACAACGTCAACATTTTATTTATCTATATACGTTTTCAAAATCACATTTTCAACCCTCTCTTGAGCATTTTTAGCCATGTATAATAATTTGAATACCTATAAAAATAAAAATTTATCCCTTGATAAGTCTTTATCGTTCCATAAGGAATTGTTAGAGGACGCGGACATAGACCTAAATGATGGAGGATCCTTGGTTCAAAATAATGAAAAGCTAAAAGCTCACTCAAGAATCGTTCTTCAAAATTCAGAGCAGCAAAATAAACATACAAGCAATATTTTCATTATCACGGAAGATGTACAAAGATTATTAAAAAGAAAAGAAATATTGCTTTATAGGGACAAGATCTCCATCTTTAATCATACAATCAAACAAGGTTGGGTTTTAAAGTTTGGGCCAAAGTAACGGTTGCTTTTGACCGAAAATTTGTGCTGGACAAGGTAGATTTTAAGAAGGAGGATGAAGAATATATTTTAAAATTAGAGAATATTTTGAATGATGTTAAAATAACCGTTGTAGAATTTGAACTACTATTAAGAATGAAAATGTCAGGTATAACGAATTTCATCAAGGTGATGTGCAAACTCTGGATCAAGCAAGAAGATCTCTTGAAACAACATTTCCAAATGAGTTAGAAGTTTTCAGGATTCTGTTACACAAAATTCTTGATGCATTAAAAGTTTGGTTATAAATGGAGAAAAGGTTTAAACATAGCTATGTTTTTCTTTGCTGGAAGTCATGGGTCTTTTTAATCAAATATTTGATAACATTTCTCGCTAATTATATATTACCTACTTAATTAGATAAAGTAAATTACATGTTATTTTTACTCTGTATTTATCAATAAAAATTGCATTCTCCTATATCTATCAAGTGAATGTTTAATGAAATGATTGAAAACTAGTACATAAAATTAGAGTAGAATATCACTACAGATTTCTGTAAGAGCATGTCGCCAGTGTATGAACCAATTCATGAGAAAATTTGTTATTTTTGGAGAAATTTCCTTTGTCATGTTTAATTACATATTTTAAAAAATAAATAAAGTTTTTTCTAAATGGTTTGTTTCACTAAAATTTTCCAATAACAATCCGTTAAAATTGATTTAGTGCCCAACTTTAGAAAATAGACTTTAATCTTCACTAAAAAATTTTCTTTATGTTTGATTTTGGTAATAAGGTTACCTGACAAACCTTGGGGTTTCGACATACTGTATGTCAAATTCAAAACATAGTTTTGACATTCTGCCAATTTTATATTTTAAAGGCAAGGCCGCGAAAGTTTCGACAGGTGCAAAAGGTCGACGGTTGGAAAAAGCGACGGGTGGCAAAATCTATCAAGAAATTTCTGTTTTTCCCTCAATATGAGAATTAATTCCCTTCAATATATCCAGGTATGATTGAGAAAATTTGAACATTTTATATTAATTGGATACCATATTCTTCTAAAGCAGGTAATTCTAACATGTTATATTGGTTGATTTAATCTAAAACTAATACAATGATCTTTATTTAATGTTTCATACTTTTTTCTTTTTTTATAAAAAAAAAAAAAAAAGAGAAATCGATACATACCAAGTAATCCTAAAAATAAATAGATTTTATGTTGGAATGAAAATAATGCTTCAATTTTTTTTTTGATAAAAAAATTCCACCCGTGCTTTACAAAATAAATAATTATATAAATAAATTGGGAAGAATTAAATGTGCGAATAATTAAATAAGTAAATAAAGAAACTATACCAGGTAATAATTCCTAACGCATAGTGCATGATTGCGCTACCGCTTGATTCCAAGATTTTAGATCTCGATGTGAACTTAATCCAAAATACAGAAGTTTGTATATAATACATCCCCTTAAACAATTGAACTCTGTCTTCTTACTTTTTTTTCCATGAAGGACGTAAGCTATCAACCAATGTCAACATTATTCAAAAAAAAAAAAAAAAAAATGGAGATTATTTTCAAATTTAAGATCCATCGATTTTGAAATAGAAAGAAAACAAATCTTGGTTATTGAGTATATTTAAATTCATGAGAATTCCGCAATAATCGGAATTGATCATGACGATTTCGGTTGCAAAGATTTTCGAGGTTTTCTACTGGAGTGGCGTGGAATGAAATATTTATGAATCATATCTCCAACTTATATTGAACCAATTACAAATTGTGCAAGGAAAACTAAAATCCAAGAAATTAATGTTTTCCGCATAGTGATTCTTATTATAATAGAAACTTTTTACATTACAGTAAAAAGACAAATATTCCATTTAGGACAATAAAATTTAATGTTAAAAATAAAAGTGTTGATCGTGAGGAAGAAAGTGGTTGTCCAGAAAAAATTGCCTCCAGAGCATCTAAGAATTTCGGCCAATATTTAAGACGAAATCCTACCCTTTCTTTCCGATAATGGAAACTAGATTGGCTGAAAAGGGTCTTGAGATATCCTATGGAATTATTTCGAGACACTTTGGAGATTTGGGATATAAAAATAATTTGCCACAGCTGTTCCTATGCTTACCAGTGTTCATAAAAGCAAACATATTGAGTGGGCTCATACACACCTCAATGATAACTGGAAAAAACCCTTTTTACGGATGATACTGCTCCAGTTATTCCGAATACTATAATATAATGGTATAAAGGTTCCCGACAAATTCGCCCTATTCCAAAACATCGCGTTAAAATTCGCCTGGGGTGGATTTTTAATTGTCTCAATGAGTTGACGTTGTAAAGCAGTTATTGAAAGGAATGGTGTGGTGAACTTATTCCATTTTAATTTTTAAAAATAAAATTGGTCAATTCCGGAGTTTTACAGTCCCCGGCGAAAAGAATGGCGGTTTAAATACCGTATCTATTTTAGGCCGAAACGTAAATCGCGTTTCCGATATGGGCCATTGTTTATATGACCAAATTGGACGCTGGAATCATAATATAAAAGGTAAGTTAAAAAATAATAAGGTTTGTTTTTGTTTTTGTTGTGATTTCTTAACCGAAAAAATGCTAAGCTCTCTTGAAATTCAACGAAATTCCGTTAAGAAACTCTGGGACCAAAACGTGCGTAGTGCAAAGGAAATTCATGAACGATTGTGTATTCCTTTGCATACATGTGAACGATATGTCAGTTTACTACGTAAAACTGCCAATATTACTATCGGTCATTCTTCTTTCTGGCCGCCCAAGAAATTGTCCGCGAACCAACGCCGCCATATCGGAAAAATTCTAAAACAAACCATTTCACTACTGCAGGTGAACTTAAGGCCAAAATAGAAGAAAAAGATCCTAAACTTGAGGTTAGCGAACGTACAGTACGTCGTGAACTTAAAAACCTTGGATATGTTTCTGTTATGCCAAGAAAAGTTCCTTTCTTGGTCACGTGATCATTATCGTTACAACTGGAAGAAAGTTGTTTTTTCTGATGAAACAACACTCCAGATGTTTAGAAATACCATTCGTGCATGGTCCCATGATGCACAACCAGTTGCCCCTATGGTAAAACATCCATTCAAGGTTCATGTAGTGTCAAAGGAAAAGTTGGCATTCATTTGTTTACCGAAAATTTGGACCGTCATTTGTACCAAAACATCCTAGACGATCATTTGTACAGTACAATATTGCGACAACATTAATCAGTCGCAACTGGGTCTTCCATCAAGACAATGATCCAAAACACGCCTCACGAGACGTTCAGAGTGACTTGAAAAAACATCTTCCGGGAAAAGTTCTTTCTTGGCCTTCGTACAGCCCAGACTTTGAATCCTATCGAAAATGTAGAATTAAGAATATGGCGGCAAAAAAAAAAAAAATTACCTGTGATGTTTTCCTTAATACAATCCGGCAGGAATGGGACGATCTCAATGGCGGTGTATTACTTCGGTGCATTAATAGCATGCCGAACCGGATTCAATCGATGCAGAAGGAGGGCACACAAAATATCAATTAATTATTAAAAAATGTTCCGTTAGTATTATTCTTTTAAATAAAAAAAAAAAAATAAACATTAAAAAAAAGTTTATACATACCGTCGAAAACTGTCTCCACCATTCTTTTCGCCTGGGACTGTAAATGAGCTATTTTGGTAAAGATTTTCTTCATTGGTTAAGAACAAAATTGTGAATTTATGGAGGGCAAGATTTTTTGTCCCACACAGTATATTACATTAAAAATAATTGTAATTAATTATACGAGGAAAATTATACAACACACATGACAAAACCAAAGAGCAGAAAGCAATAAATAAAAATAACTTACAAGATCCACTGCACTCAGAGCATTGTGAAGGTAGGAAATTCCAAGAGGATAGAAGCCAGGTCTAGGAACGCAGTTTAATTGATCCGTAAGTAGCTAATTCCTCTTCCAGAAGAAGCAGAACCTTACCAAATAAACCATGCGCTTGAGTAGGTTACCGTCAACCTTCCTGAAGCGTCTACTTGAAGCTCAACAAAATTGACTGCATTTAAGACTGGTTTCCTTCAGTAAATACACGGTCTCTCCGCTACTTTCCTGTACAGAATAAAAAAAAAATTGATTCAAACAACGAAAAAATAACCATTTAACGACTTGGTCGTGTCAATAAAACAAAGAATATTAACTTTTAAATAAAATTCGTCACTTCAGTATTCTTTCTTTTTTTTAGTCTTGTCAATATGAGTTTGTTGTTTGTCATGGGAAGAATTAAATCTTTTGGGAACGTAATACAAATAGTCTAAATATGACGAACTTTCACATTGTAAAATGGTAAAGTCAAAATTTGTTATACGTTGATGATAATAAATAGTTACATCTGCTGACCTTATGTAACGATATACATGTTTATATATATTTGATGTTTTGTCCATGCACATGGATTCCAACTAGGGTTGGATCGGTCATGATAAAGATCGAACTTAGACCGGTGTTTACCTGGAATCGAACCGAAACCAGATTAACCAATAACGATTTAAATCTAATTCAGGCCAGTCCTAAGAAAGAATTTATGCGATATATTATTAATACGATTCTTTTGTTTGGTTGGTTATTACGGTCAAGTCTATATGGAGACACGATAAAGGTTTAAAAGGGTAAGCTCTTCCCAAGACTCGCCAAAGTCGAACTTTTGAGGATTTAAATTCTAATAAAAAAGTAATAAATATAACGAAAATAAATAAAATTAGTTAATAAAGTGAAAATAACAAATTAATTAAAAACTAGTATTATAAAACAAAAATAAGAACGAAACGAAATGCAATATAATTATTTTAGCATTCTTAATATGACATACATAATTGATATAATAATTATATTTTTGTTACTTTTCCGCTATCACTGGTTAGTAGAACCGGTCCTTGCTGCCTTCGGTCTATATTCTGAGAAACGGTCCGGACTGGTTGATAATTTTATGGCAGACAGCTATATAAAAACTGTATTGCTGCATTAAATTAGGTTTCGATGGAACTGCCGAAACTACTATAGTCGAAAATATAAAATCGTTGAAGTCAAATCGGAACATGAAGTTTGTTTCGATCTTTACCATATCATTTGCTAAATTCCTCGCAATTATAGTTACGATAAAGATTTAAGAATAAACTTTTATATAAAACTAAACATTTTTTTAGACAAGACCGATTAAAGATCGGTCTTTGAACCGGTCACAGGAC